TCTTCAAGACTCGATGCATAAATAGCACGAGACACTGACACTCCCACACCTCCAACTAGGATTGTTTTGAGCAAGTGTGACACCATCCTGTAAAAATGTAAATGTGTCAAATGCATGCCTAATTCTTTCGACAAGGATGTGCCTACAATAACTTCTCTCTTTCAAGTAAATAACTAACTATCCAGTGACCCATTACTTTTGTCAAGGATAAGCGCATTGAGGGGCAGATATCCTGAGATAAGAGGCTCTAATTTAATTTAGCAAAAGTTGCAAGCATTGCTGTATATTTTGTTCTCATCACAACCAAAAAAAGGAACAAAAGCCTAGAAGCCAATGAGGATAGGCACATTTTCAAAAAGCAAGAACAATGTATGGGTGGCTGTTTTTCTGGTTGGTATTCTCTTCCTTCCCCACTGAGGGACAATGGCCAACTATGCTCTCCACTTGAATGATGCCAATAACCTTTTACAATGAAGTATTCTGTAGGCAGTAGCATCTTTCAAAAAAGAAAAAAGAAAAAAAAAAAATCTGTATTCCTCCTATGTTTTCCTAAAGAAGGATCAATTCTTTAGCTAAGTAGTTGTCACTCCTGTCTAGACTTGTATTTCTGTGAAGATCGTTGACTCTTTTTTCCCAACTAAAAGAGTCAGAAACTGAAATGTACTCCTTGAAGAACAGTGACAATAAAAAATTTGTTAAAGGAAAGCATCAAGTAAAAAGCTCATTTCTGACATTTTCGCTGGGCTTGTTTGTTCGCTTTCCTCATAGTTCAGAGGCCAGAACAACTGGTAATACCATACGCCTCTTAACTACAGTTTTGTTAAAATTTTCCTCTTTGATAATGCATGTCATTGATGTCCCTTTAACAGATAATAACAGTACTTTTTAAAAAGAAGAAATAGGATGCTCTGCCAAGACTGAACATACGTCCAAAGAGCAACTGTAAGGCTTGTTCAGAACAGTTCCTCAGGCTGGTAGTACAGACTACAGCAAAGTTTTTAAACTTTTGATCTGCAGGCTTCAGTTGGGTCTAAACAGCACCAGGAAAAGCAAGCTTCTGCAGATTAAATTTTACTGCAAAAAGAAAGAATTTAAACTATTTGAATGGTTTTTTTCCTTAAAAAGAAGAAACACGTAAGATCAGAAACACATGAGAATTAAATTCTAAGTATCTGACATACTTAAATACTTACAGTACTCTGCCTAATGCAGAAGAGCAGAACTAAGATGCCAAAGTGAGTCAACAAAAACATAATAAAAACAAACCCCTTTGTTAAAGCTTAAGAATCCACATGGAAGAATATGATGGAACAAGAACCCCAATGCACAGAAGACAGTAAAAAATAAAAGATATGGGGAGGGAAATAAGTGAATATTTTGAGGAAGGAGAATATACAGCTAGAGATTAAAAATTAACTGCATGCAAGTCACCTGGGAAATGGAAGATGGATGTTTCTATTTAACAGCATCATTCACTTCTCAGTAAGCAGCATTTCGGTTCATGGCAAAGTAAGAGACATGTTCCTCTCAAGACAGAACCCAATCATTTTAGGCCAGTAAATACAAAAAAACCCACCGACATTCCCCTCAGCACCCAGTACTAAACTGCAATGCCAAAAATCAGTGTTATGTTATTCTATTCTGCAGATTATCCATTTGAACCTTAATCCTCTTTCTGAGAATCGGAGCTGTGCGACAGATCCATTACTGGTATTAAGCATACAAACACTTGTGTTGCACAGCAGTTATTGTGACACAATAATCTGATAAAATAATGGTAAAAACTGCTAAATACATTCCTGAACTCAGCCCTGCTAAATCACACTGAAAATCTCTGTACACAAAAGATTTCCTGAACAATTAACCTGCAATAAAGTTAAGGCTATGTTAGTCTCAAAACTGTCATTTGTGTCTCTGTCTTTAGGTTTTGAATATTCTTACCAGTTTTTAGGCTGCAATTTACTAGTCAAAACCTGTGGAAAACAGTCTTAATGACAGAATTAAAGAAAAATTATTTTATTCAGTAAAGCCTTCCAGAAGGAAAACATGGAGTTACTGTAATATTAAACTTAATTTGAACTAAAATTTTGCTATAAGAATTTTAACTTTCACCTGACTGTTAAAGAATACAAACTGCACTGAACAATACTTTAGTCAAACACTGTAATACCTGTTTCTCCTGATAACCACCATTCACAGTAGGAGCTGGCATAGAGGATGAGCTCTTACCTACAGGGTCTTCACTGTAAGAAACAGCCAACCATGACATTATCTCCTCTGCTATACTTGATATAAATTGTAATTTTCTTACAAGCATGAACAAACTTTAAAGATTCACCCAAGAGTTCAGTAAACATTTCAGGAATTTCTCAGGACTGGTTAAAGCTTAGAGTCATAAGGTACAAAGAAATTATAGTTATAGACACAACATCCTGCAATATGGGTTGCTGAAGCTTTCATTAAAACATGAAAAAAAAAAACCCAAACCAAAAAAGTGCTTTATGGCTTAAAAAATTAATCCCATGGCTTGTTTTGATAACGAAGGCAATGGTAAGCAATTAAATAAAGGCTTCCATCACGAGATACTAGCTTGAAATAATAAGAGTAAGACTGTACAATAGCAAGTCAGTGCTCTCTCATCTTGAAGGTCAGGTGAAACATAATTTTGATTATTACAGAAAAAAAATCAGCACAAACAAGATGCCTTGTGACTAAAAGATAGTTTCACAGCTGTTTTGAACACTGAATTGTAGTAATTCCTACAACTAGTACTGAATCATAAGTTGATGCTGATTTATTTTTATCTCTTTAGACACATACTTGCACACTCACACAAAATGCCAAAAATAAAACTTCTGCATTTATTTTAAAAGCATTTAATTCCTAGAAATTACAGCTGAATCAAACTACATCACCTCAGATTCCTCTCAAATAGGGTGGTGTGATAACCAAAATAAATTATCAAAGCAACACAAACCGTAATGTTCAAAATCATACATTCTTATTCATCTAAATGTAGTAATTTTCAAAGAATGCTGTAAGTTTTAATATTAAAAAGTGAGATGCTTAGTGAATTTTACATGTTTACCAAAGCACAAAGTGATAGGAAAGGATGTGTTGGAATGAGATATTAAGAGAACAAAGTAATATTGTCTAGAGACTTGACTAGACAGTAGTGGGATACCATATTTTGTCTCCTGCAGTCATTTGTTTTCTAAAAGAGACTTGAAAGTCAGTGCAAACATTTCAGAGATTACAGTGCTGTTGGTCACAAATCTACTGCCCTCTAAATTAGTTAGCACTGTATTTAACTGATTCCAAACACTTCATACATATGAAATTTACCCATACTTTCCGAAGTCTCAAAACTAGACCTGGGAGTTGCTCTGAGAGCTTTCCTACAGAATTAGGAGTAACAATTTTTGTGTTTGCAGTGCAGCAGGAAAAAAGTGAACCTATCTGCACATTTATTTTTGCATATGGTAACATTCACGTATTACGAAAAGTAATCCCTTAAATTCAACTGTGTGCATCTGTTTTTTTTTATCTGCAGCAAGCAAACGATTCACAGAAAGCAAAAGAAAACAACCTGGCAGCAAGTATTAAGACAAATCTCAAAAAGCACCACATAAAATGAAAAAAATCCTTTTTTTTTTTTTCTTAATGCACCTAAGAATATGACTAATGGGATGGCTTCAGTGTTGTTTCGTTTTTCTTCCCCCATTAGATTTATTTTTTTTCTGGGTAGATCTGGCCCACAGCACAGTTAGTTGCTGATGGAGAATGCAATGATATTAAATGCAAACAGTTAAGTAGTTCTCCAAGCAGCTACCTAACAAGCAGTATTAAACAAATTATATCCTTGTTGTGCGATTTAGTATGTACATTCTAGATTGTTCTATTCTTTATAGCCAATTGATTTGCTGGAAAACAGGATTTTTTTTTCTCTTTAGAATTCTTCAGGTTATGCTTCACCGAGAATCATAATCCTGTGCATGCTTAGAATTGCATTTCATGCACAGAATTAAATAATTAAGAAGAAAATACATAATCTGAATTCTTAGTTCACTTCCACATAAATTGCTTAGGAACAAAATAGTACAAGAACTAAAAAAATTATAGGCAAACCAATTGCTGACTACTAGATTAAACCAATTTTTCGAAGAACACTTAACTGTAGCCCAGATCTCCACTTACTACTTACTACTATGCTAACAGGGCTACTTCTACACACATTGTTTCAAATAGAACAGTGATAATTAAAGCCACAAGAAAATTATCAGATCTCTCAAATGCAACTCTCATGATGATAGCTTAGAGCTGACTGCAAAGCTGTTCATATAATTAGATGGGTATTTACATTTTACTAGGATCTGGTATAAGTACTAGCTGAAGAACAGTTTACTTGAAAACACACCAGTTGTATTGATCTTACGCACAGTGTCTGGAGACAGTACAGATTTTGTCTGATGATCTCTAAGATTACAGCAAAGCAATCATACTTACAACTGCTTTAATTCAATACACTACTATTCGAAGACGACTATGAAAGCAGTAAACCAACATGTTCTTTGAGCACTGTGCTAAATTTCAAGGCCCGTTGATAAAGTTTACAGCTGCCTGCAGATATGATCTTCAATGCTTGAGTTCTTTCAGAGAGAGGGCTCTGAAAACGACTGCCATGCTACAATACTGTTGTCATAGGATAAAAGTTACAACAGTCCAACCAACAAACCTTTTCATCAAAGAGGCTACAAGCAAACATTTGAACTCCTTGAGAGAAAGGAACAATTGCATAAGACAAAAGTCTTATGAAGTATGCATCAGCCTATTTGCTCTAAAGGCTGTAGGACTCACAGGAACAACAGTTGTAAGGAATTACTCTCATTCCCTCCACTTGCTATACAAACTAGGTCCCAGGACAAGAATAAGGATTCTAGATACTACCACAGTACTGTTTCTTAATAATAACAAAAAAAAAAATAAGAAGCAAGGCTTACAGTCTGACTTTCGGGAAAGTCCATCTTCAGCAATTTGTGAGCACATTCTTCAAAGTCTAAGCTGCAATAATAGAGAAAATACTTCTCATTATCTGTGGATTATATCCTATGTGAAAAACATACCAGAATTATATCGATTGATTGCTGGTGCTAAAGCTTCAACTGTTTTGAAATTAAGTATTTCATTAGCATTCAAAAAGGCGTTTCTTCTGTTGTTTTTTGTTGTGGTTTTTTTTAATAAACATTCTGTTTTTTATGAGTGTATATCTGAAAATTAATTTGAAGACGTTACATTTGCAGACAATCTGAAAACAAGATGACTCCGGTGACTACTACTGCAAACACCATACATAAGCTCCAAACTCAGTATATACCACACTCTCCTCTTTGCACTCTTCTTGCATATTAAAAGCCTTTAGCTAGCAGTAGGTATCTCCCCCACCCAAGTATAAGATGAACAAACTTAAGCAGAACAAGGAAGTATTGAACAATAACTTTGAGAAATAAAGAGCATTTCATACATTTCAGTATGTTTTTAATTCCTGTGTCTAATGAGCAATACCACAATTACATTATCTCACCCCTCGTGCAGGTCCAGACCTGCAGAATATTATGGGCCATGCCTACTTTTAATGATGGAATTGAGTGACATATAACAGGTTAATCTCCTTTCACTTAGGTGCTGAAGAAGTTAAACCACTGTATTTTGATTTGTGCCATGTACTGCAAGGGGATTTCATTCTCAAGATGAATACAAATCATGTACACTTCAGGGTTGGTATCTGTATACTTGTTTTCCAAACAATGCAGATGGCAAAGGACTAAAGAATACCACACTGCAGAACTTCTTACTTCCAGAAGACACTCTACACCATCTCTATTTCAAGTGTATCACACATTTTTTTCAGAAATGCTTAAAGTGCTGCATAATCTGAAGACCACTGACTTTTGTTCACTCAAAGATGTGATTACAGCAATCTTCACAGAAAAGTCCCAGTTCATTACTATTTTGAAACAAACAGGATTCATCTTAGAATAAGCATTTGGGTATCCATTTGTCAAAACAGTCTACATTACACTATCAGGTCAGGCTCCATACAGAACAGTACCCTGCCTTTTTTTCTTTTTTTTTTAATTGTACATTAAAGAAGAATTTAAGAAGAAAGAGAATTCCAGTTCATCCATTTCAAAAGATCTACATTCAAAGGTGTACAAATTCTATCATATTTACCTTGACTGTATAGCAAGATAAATTGTACGACGAAAGGAAACCAGGTTAATTTCTGTTTTGTCATGGACAGTAACTTTCTGACCTGGGAAAGGAAAACATGTTTTTGTAAAGAGCAAAACATTAAGGCAGATATATGCATTTTCTTACAACAGCAATAAATGCTATTTACTAAGTCTGTAGCGCACAATGTAATATCCCTTTAGAAATATTTAGAGAAGTTTAGCACCTTAATGTATTTTTTATTACTACAGAGAAGAAATAAAAATCAGTACTTGCCTCATCTGTTACTAACAGGTAAATATTTGGAGATATAGTTTTAAGAAGAAAACGCCACTTTTAAAGACCTTTCACATGACTCAGGCACTGCAGCCTCTGGGTTTAACACTTCTTGTATACATTATTAGCAAAGTATTTTCTGCGTAACTTAATTATACAATGCTTTATGTAGCCCCCCTGATTTTAATAAGAAATACTCTGTTTCTACGTTACAGCATTCTGCAAAGTTCTGTTTTGTCCTGAAGCAAGTGTAGAAAAATTTGTTCTGAACCAAAGCTATTCTGGAAACACCTTCATTCATCAGGTATTCACTATTCCTTCATTCTTTTAAAGTTTGGTAACAGCATGAATGATGAAAAGTTAAGTGAATTCTCATACTTTTAATCAGCCTGGAAGCTCTGTTCTTCTGTGAAATACTGCAGCAACTAGTGAGGAAATACATTCCTGGTATTCTACAAGAACAGGCCTTGGCTGGCTTTTTAATTACTCACAGAGTTTGCACAAACATTTCAGTTATGCTTATCCATCAGGTTTTTTACTGGGAATCAAATGATTTAATTCTTTGAAAACGTGTAAACACTGACTGCTTCCACTAAAGACCAAGAAAGGGGGCTGGAGGCTGAACTAAAAAGTGACATTTCTTAGTACAGCCAAGAAACAGGATGTAAAAATACAGTTGTAAGAAAACACATTCTGATTTTTAAGTGACTTAAAAATATGACAGAGCACTAAAATGTGCCCAGAAAGGTTTGTTTTTGCAAATTTTTAAGGAAGTGTTTTCATGTCCTTTACTTCTAATGTCTTATGTTTGCCAGGCTTTTCTCACATGAAACTGACATGGTCAAGAACAATCAGACAAAGCTGCTTTTCATTTTCTGCATGTGCTGAATGCTCTTTTTTAGACTGCTATTTTTATACTATCACTAGTAAGGTGCCAAACATATACTTACCATCTTCACCTTCCTCTTCATCATCATCTTCATCTTCCTCACTACTTCCAGCCTCTTGATCCGCTTCAGATTCACTGTCACCTTCATCAAGAATTTCTGAAAGAGGAGTATCCCAGATTAAAGTACTATAGACCACAGTAGTTTCATTACCAAAAGAACTTAATCCCACACCTAAGAGTGAAAGGGTGGTGTCTCAGGTGTAGAATGTGTCAGTCAAAAAAAAAAAAAGGGTAAGTAAACACCCTATAAATGTGTAAATTTATAAATATACATAAACGTGCATACGCACACCCCTACCTTTCTTCAGCATTTTGTATTTCTCTTCATTTTCCATAAAGTTCGGATCCATCTTGAAAACATCTTTAGAATAAAACAGAATATTTAAAATACAAAAATTATTATAATTATGAATGTCTAATCTTAAATTTGTTCTAATGGGGAATGCAGTCCTACAATTATCTTCTGTTTCTAACTTACTAAGAACATCCTCTGGGTTGTAGTCATCTTCTAATGGCAACATATGAGTAAATTGATCCTCCTCTTCCACTAGATCTAATCCCTCTGGAATGATTGGATGATCCTTGAAGCCATCCTTCCGTACAGCAAACATAACTTCTATCATATACTGAACACGCATATCAATTTTAGACTCATGCAGAATATGTCGAAGACGGTCAAAGATTGCTTTGGAAAAGAGACAGAAATGTAAATACAAAAAGAATTTACACATACAAAACCAAAAAAGACAAACGTTCTGGCTAATTATACTTACCATTAATACCCCTAGGAGAAACTTCTGTTAATTTGAGCCCACTTTCTTTAATAAATCCAATTGCTACTTCAATACTGTCATCAGTAGGCCTTTCAAGAAGCAAAGTGAGCATCTCCAAACATAAAACCTCATGAGCCTAAAGAAAGAATTTCAGTAAAAAATTAGAATGTACAATGTTACGCTATTATTACAGTGATTCACTTGACAGAGCAGTCCAGCCTTTGAGGATACCACAACCCAACCACACATGCAAGGCAACTGTAGTGGGACAAAGCTAATCAAAACGAAGTCAAAATTTCAAATACAATTTTACTACTTGTATTTACACCAACTTTGTGGCAAATGTGACAATGCTACTGAAGTGAACAAGCAAACAATGAAAAACATTTTGCCATTAAGAAGAAAATCACATGCATTTCCGAGAAGCAAATAAAACAGCATAACTAGTTTCAGTAATGTAAGTAAGCGCATTGTGGCTATAATTAAATCAGGTCTCCCAAGGTGAGGCACATAAGCAAATGGCACATCTGGTATTAGTTTCCTCTTTAACAAAATGCTGTACATTTCCAATACATTCCTGAAACACTCTTCTTGACATTACTTAAATTGAAGTATCTATTCGATTTACATGCAACTGAGTCTAGTTCTATCTACACAGATGTTTAATGCTGATGACAGTGTTGCAAGAATACTCTGTTTAAGATGGGTGGGACAGAGCCCCACATGATGCTTGCTTTGCATCAAGATTTGTCTGAATACTAGCCCAAACATTTTTACCAAGTCTGGTGAAGCTCTGGAGCATAAGTGCAATGGTAAGTGATGATAACTGCATAGACAATTCCCAATGCCTTTTCTAAAAAGGCACTAACAACTTGAAGCAGGCATTAGAAAGAAACCCAAGCAAAATTTTCTAGTAAACTTCAGAACACAGGGAGCACCTTCACTTAGACTACTGCTATCCTGAAACTAAAGAAATAGCCACATAGGTTTCAGATTGAGAAGAAATATGAAGTAACATACCACATTCTGATTCATCAAGTGTGCAACAAATTTTGAAGATGTTAGACAAAGTTGCTGCGAAAGAGATAAAATAGGAACTTTTAATACATTGTATACAGAGGAAAAAATTTGTAACTCAGACATACTACATAGCTGTGCATCTCACAATCAAATGTGATACTGACAGTTGTTTACAAATAGGCCTGTACACTTAAAAAAAAACCAACCCACAAAACTATCACAGTACCAACCCAGAACAGGTTGTCAAGCTTTAATGATATTCTGATACAACTATACTTAATGTACTAATGATAAGTCCCAATCCCAAGTCTCAGCTTCGTTCCTTTAAGTATGTAATTGGAACACACATGATACAAGGTTAACACAGCAGAATTACAAGTTTCAGCATGTTGCTTCTTCACATCTTACATACCTTATCATTTCTACGATATCCTTTGCGAAAATTCAGTATCAACCTCTTGAGAATCAATTCACCAATATTTGGAAATTTTGAGTTGATAATTGCCACAAGAGCTGCATAAACATGAGTGAAAATTGGAGAGGCACTCTGAGCTTGCAAAATGGACCTAGATAGCAGCCCCCTGTAAAAATATGTAAGCTTAAGATTTTTATGGTAATAAAACATCTAATGTTTTTATTCAGTATGTATCACATAAAATGGTATTCTACAGCTGGAATGGTTAGAAGATAGTAGATGGTCATTTTCAAACTGCTGTTTATAATTTCACAAAAGTTTTGCAAAATATATTGCCCATGTGTTCAAGACAAGAAATTCCTAAACTAATACCTTATCTTTCATTAGACATCGTTCCTATTAGAACTACATTTGAAAATGCTAAGCATGTAAAAAAAAAAGTCTTCATCTTGTATCATGCAAATATCTTTTTCCTTTTAACACCAACACAGACTCATCAGCTTGAAAATTGTATGATTTTGCAGTTTCTTTTCCTCAGTTCAGAAAACAAAAACCTGTTTGTGACAAAAAACTGCTCTGCAACTATTTATGTAACACAGAATTGTGTTCCACACAATAACTTAAATAAGCTAAACAAGCTTCTAAGAAATAAAAATTATATCTATATAAAAAGTCTTTTACAATAAAGATCTACCTAAGAGTAATAAAACTTTATGGCCAGTAAAACCAGAATGCACAAAGTAATACTTATCACTGCTTTTTTCAAACAAAACTTAGTATTTTCAACAATTATTTTTTGGAACCAAGATTTCCATTAGAGCCTAAATGAACGTAAATACAGAGCCCATGAGATAACAGTTTATCATGTCTGCAGCATCCCTTACATTTATACCAAGACTGAAGTCTGAAAAGAATCTGAGACTCCCCTCCTGCTTCACCCCATTTTTTTCCTTCTGATGCTAATGTAATAGAGTAATACAGCAAAAGTAAAACTCTAAATGGATGAAGGGGGAAAAAAAAGCCCTCCAAACATGACTCGCCAAAGTGCACACTGGTATCCAGCTCTATCTTTTCTGTGGTGTGTTGGAATCTTCCAAAAAAACTCCTATGTGACACTAAACACAAACTGCATAAGGACCTTATTCCTACTCGATTTGAAGTTGACATACGGAACAGAACTCATTTCATACTAGTGCACAAACACAGAAATGATTTCATTTTGAATCTACTAGTTACTTCTCACTTGTACACTGAAACTAGTCTGCCTCAGATCCTATTTACTCTTTAGTTGACAAATTCAGAAAAGGGCTTTACAGCTAGGTAAAACTTCATGTCATTAATTTCATACATACTTTTCTGCAAATTTGGAAGTCAAAATTAACTGTAAGAAGAAGGAAAATGGTGCCATTTTCCATCGACATTATCTTGAAATTTATAAGTTTATAAGCCACACACAAAAACTTCAACGGACAAATGTATTCAAAATACATGCAATGAGCTAATTTTTAAACTATTACTGCTTATATGAAAATTAAGTTTCAGGGACATGAAATAAGGAAAGCAAAAAGCAGCCCTGCACAGACTCTTTGAGACTTACTACTTTTAACTGAAATCACATTCAGGAACTACTTGCTCACTCTCTAGATTTTACTTAATTCTCTTCTGTTATTTTTATGCTATCTGCAGGATTCTAATCTTCCCATAAGGTATGGCATACATGAAAGTAACACATTCTTTAGCTATTGCCTCCTCAAATAACAGTGACTAAGCTGACAGAAAAAGCATTGCTATCTGTTTGAAATGTAACAGAATTATTTCTGGATATTATGTTCAGAGGGGTTCTTCATTGGTGGTGGTTTGGTTGGGCTTGTTTAAGTGGCAGTCAACTTAAGAAATCTCTACTCTTTTAGGTTAGCAGATTTAACCTGTACTAACACCAAAATGAAAGCAAGAAAAGACATCACACTGTGCTTACACAGTCGCCATGACTTCATGCTGAGCTCAAACAGCATAATAATCTTTTCTCTACATTACAATAATAAACAATCATGCCAGATAGCACACAAACTCAAAAAAAAATACTTACCTTCCACGAACAATATTTTCCTGAAGGAGTTCATGAATGATATTTTCTATGTTAGAAACGTTCACTTTATTGACAAGACCATTGATTGACTTCTTCAAGGCTTCCCAACTCATCCTCTGATATGCCAAGCTATTACAAAGGTATAACAAATTATTAATGCATAAATCAGAGGTAGCACTGAATGTATTTATATATACATGAAAACGCAAATGCAGGTTGTAATCAGTAAAATAGGTCTAGTTCACAATTATACATTTAATTACCAGGAAACCACCAAACCAACATTATACACAAAAATGTAATTCTCCGCAGATATGGTTTAATCCAGTATGTTCAGTTTTCTAAGATAGTCTAGAAAATCCCTGGTTATATACTGGTATCCCACTTTTCCATTTACACTTTGCAGCAGAAGTAGGTACAGTCATAATCTGATTCACTTACCTTTCTTCTGATAGAAATATACCTTCAAAAGAATGATCGCAGCTCTTCAAGGGAATCCCATTTTCACCAGCATTCACCAAAACTCTTTATCGTTTCACTTTTCAGTAGAAATTCTAATATATTACTTTCAACTCACCTATTTTTATCGGTAATTTGCTCTTGCATCATCCTGAGCTTGGCAGGTGGAATATATGCACCACCTGTGCGAGTAAGAATTGGATCCACTTCTTCCTTCTTCTTCTTTGAAGCGGTCTCATCATGAGCAAGTGAGCTCTGGACTGCCGACCTCTCTGGACTCCTACGATCAGGTGATGAATATCTTCTCTTCCTTCGATCGGGTTCTCTCTCCTCCCATTTCTCATGGTGTCTGTCTCTACCCCTTTCCATCCTTCTAAAAAAAAAATAACCAAAACATCAAAACCCCAAAACTTAAAAACCAACAAAAAACACCCCGACCACCAAATACCGAACGGTTTATGCAAAGTTTTCACATCTTATTCATTGAGTATTTTGTTACTGATTAAGGGCTTAATACCTTCCTTCTGAAGTTCTGTCATCATAGTATTCCCTTCTTGAATATTCCTGATCATATCTGCTGTCATCAGAGTATCTTCTCTTTCTGGGAGATGGAGACCTGTCACGCTCTACATCCCTAATAGCAACCCAAGACATAAAATTCTTAGTAATAGGCTTAGAAAAGCAACGCTATTAATATCTGCTTGCAATGTAATGCAAATACAATACAGAACTGTTCCACATCTGCAACCTGAGTTTCAGTTTATGCAGCATTCCGATAGAAGATGCTCCTTTCATAATAACTTGTTGTCAGCAAAAAATAATCAAAAAGCAAAGGAGCACTGTAAAAGGAAGCTCCCCCTAGAACTTAAAATTAAAGCTTAGTGATAATAACATCAACTACCAAAGGTAAACTTAGCATCACACATTCCTTAGTACAAGAGGTTTAATTCCAATTAAAATGTGAAATTAAAGGTAAACTGGTAACAGTTCATCTTATGCCTTGGTAGACTGCACTTCAACTGATATTTCTCCATCTCTTGCTAGCATCAATAATCTTGCTCTAAAGTGACAACTGCAGGATCAGCAATTTGCAAGTGCAAACAAAAAGCTGGCATCTAACTGCCATTTTCAAATCCCGTGACAATTTAACTGAATGCCAAGGATTTTTTTGAAGATTTAAAAAAACCCCTACGTGCTGCTGTATCAACATGCAAGTATTTTACTAAACCAACACTTATTTTTCACTGCTTAGTTATAGTAATATACAAAAGTGCAGGTTCTATTTCTTTACCTAACTGTCTATATGAGGTACACATACAGAATTGTATAGTATAAAATCAACAATTCTACCTGTCCTCTGGAGACAAACTTCTTCGGCGTGAACTGTAGTTTTCCTTCTTTTCATAACTGGAAACATGCTTGAAGAAAACAGGAAAAAAAAGAAAATCATCCCAAGCATTATACATTAATTACTGCGAGCACATATATATTGAGATCAAAGCATATCATGTCCTCAGTTCTCTGCTTCTTTACAAGAAAGGCCATCAAATAAAGCTAATAGCACACAGTTATAACAAGGACAGCTGGCTCGAAGCAACAAGTAGTTAAGCAGCTGGACTCCCTCCTACAGGATGCTGCAGAATTTCTCCTTACTTTCCTCCTTTTTACTAACCATGATTTATTTTCTCATGAGTTATTCTTAGCTTCATACAGTATAAACATCTAAGTTACACTGTTCCAGTTGACAGATCCTGGAAACAAATTTAATTCTAGATTTCTTTAAAACGTAAATTTACAAGATCGTTTAAGTGATACACATTTAAAATAGTTCTGTGGAGTGAACCATGACCTGCAGAAGTATGGAATTATACACAAAAATTGGAGCATGACAGCATCTACAGCACACATAGAAAGACACCTCATCAAGATGCCTCAAAATTACTTTGGTAGAGCTAAGAAGTAGCTTTTATAACCTCTATACTTTCATTGTAAAGGTCCTTTTTCCCTTAAAACATTATTTATGATTTTTCAGAAGCACAATCTCATGTTATCAGCCAGTGATCAGTTGTAAAATAGGTAACACTCCACCTTGATGCAGAAACTCAACACGAGGACTTGCTTATGCACTTTGAACTTTTTTTGAGAGGAGAAATACTCCTCTCATCTGTTGAAGTGGCACTGTACCCATCAACATGCTAGCATGCTAGTTTCTGCCTCACCGAAGAACCAGTTAGAACTGTTGGTTAGTTAAAAACAATGACACCTTGCTCACCAGCTGACCCTGATGAACAGTTATACGCAATGATCTCAAAACACATAACTAGGAACAACATGGCAAGCTACTCTTTACTACATGGCAAGTGTGTCTTTACTATGTGGCAAGCGCGGTGTTTATAATGAGCTGCGCAGGTAAAACCAGCATTAATGGAAGCTTCCTAAAGAAATAATAGCAACACAAAGATCACAAGCATCATCCTATAAACAGACTGATGAGGCTGACTTGCCATCACTCAGATTGGAGTGTATGAATATATATGCAAGTATATATTTATATTTTTGAGGCCACTATAACATATCCTAGAATATCACCTTCCCTATGATACATTCCTAACACCATGTTAAGATTATTCCCAGGGTTAACTTGCCTGAATCAAGACAATGGTACATAACAAATGCATTGCACCATTTACTGGGCGCATGCATCCCTAGCAAAGTAATATCCATCTGACAATTTAAATCCAGAGTAACATCACCTTTGATGGCAAAGCTAGTAAAAGAAATCCACTTATTTTCACCAGGGTTTTCTTTCCCTTTAATACTCATTTGTGGGACTACGCCATAGAGCAGGCCACTGAAATCAGCCAAGGTTAAAAAGGTCCTTAAGTTGCTGGGTTCTTTTTTTTCAGCAAAATAATAAAATGCAAGATAGTATCCTAAGCTTCCAAGAAAGTGGTAATAAAAATCTTTGAAACACACACAATAGTTACTGTATTTAAACAATATTTAGCAGATGGGAAGAAGTGGGCCTTTTCAGGATTTCTACATCATCTGCCTCTGCCCAGGCAGACCCCAAAAGAGAGTGTTCACAGAAATAAAGCAATGTTAAGGATGTCTCTGTATTTTGCACTTATCATGCCCCCTTACGAAAGCAGCCACATCTGCTGAAGAACTTGTCACCCTTAGCTCTTTGTGACCAGGCTTTCTTCCACAAGTCAGTCTTCTTCCTCGTCCATTTTGATCAAAATGATTAAGTGAAAGTGTCCAAACAGTGTGGTTTTGCTAACTGCCTCATTTTGACAAATAAGGAAGCACTATGATAACCATCAGATTGGGAAGATATCAAACTATCCCTCAAGCATCTCTATTAAAAAACCCTTCAGTCAGAAAACTTGAAACCAAAAGAGTGAAGAAGCCTATGCAGGGTTAAACTCTAGAAACAGGCAGAGAAATACGAAAGATTCAAGACAGGGTATTCTCTGCTAACCTGCCCCGAACTTAAAGTATGTTTTACAAACATTGTATTTCTAAACCATCATTTTAGGTGAGTAATTTCAAAGTCAATTTTTTCTCCTTGCGTTCCTAAAAAAATCGCTCCCAACCATTCAGAAGTGTATCGCAGAGCTTTTAAAAGGGAAACAAAGTTTAGCTATTACAGTAAGAAATACAGCTGCCACAATAACTGCTATTTCCTCTCTAACTTTTCATTTTAGAATCATTGTTCAATTTTCAACGTCTCTTTTCTCCATTCCTCCACATGCTTCTGTTCTCGACCCATCATTCAGCCACTTTTTACCCATTACTTTATTACACTATGCTAATAGTGCTCAGAAGTTGTACTGTTGGGACAACAAGTGCTAGAAACAACTGTAATTCATTGATTTCATAGTAATATTTCTCTTGTCAACGGCTGCTGTCAATTATGTATATTGTTTGCTTTAAATTCAGGGAGGTTTATTCACTATAACATCAACTACAAACATAATCACCAATAATAAGGGAATATCAAACCCTACAATTTAAGAACACTTACGTTTACTTGTGTAACCCTGCTCTTCATCTTGACTTCCTAATTTTTATGAAGCTCTGAATGTGCAGCAATATGACAATCCAAGGTGGAGTTCAGCACACGAAAACCATTTCATCTATAACACACAGAAGACAATAAAAAGGTTTTCACTGCACAAGGTGCCCGAACTTGCTCTTTTAACTTGTTCCTTAAAGCTACACCTGCGTAACTCCTTAAACCAAACAAACACTTCCCCCAACCCTGGCCAGGCCTCTTACAGCACCTGTCTCAGGAGAGAACGGCTGCAGAACAGCAGCGGTCAGAACCGGCACCTCGGCGCTGCTACCCGCGAGACCCGGCGGCCAGGCCGCGGCAAGGGAGGCCCAGGGCCT